ACATACATACATACATACATACATACATACATACATACATACATACATACATTTGTGAAAGGGTACTTCTGGGACAAGGAAGGAACTTGGGTAACAGAGGCCACAACTTATCCCATCTATTATCCAATGTTGGGGAAATGGTTCACATGTCTTATGCATGTGGTATGTTTCCAAAGTGTACTCTTGCAACCCTCTCCCACACCACATTTCCACCACCCCTCCATACTTTTTCCACACCACAGTGACCATTGGCTGAAGACCATTGGGTGAAAATGTTCAGGTTTTTTTTTTTTTAATGGCTGCATGAAAGAGTTCAGGCCATTAAACAGAAGCATAAAAATCAGCAACCTTCTCTCTTTCTAAAGTTTGCAGATTAATATTTCCTGTGCTTTTTAAAAGCAAAAAAAGGGGGGGGGATTAAAAAAAATATCAAAGCCACTGGAATAAATTCACTGTCCTCTGGGCCCTTTCATAAACCCATCAGACCAAATTTTTTCTTCTACCCTCCACCCTCAAAATCTTTATAGTGTTTCTCTTTTTTCCTTCTCTTCCCCCAGAAAATGGCAACTAAGTAAATTTCTGAAGGGAGGGGAGAGGAAATCGAAAGTGCTAGGCAGTGTGCAGAAAAGCAAAGCTAGGTTGGCCTATGAGTGCAATAAAGATTGAGTTGGATTTGAAAGAGAAATCACTGTATACATCTCTAAGAATATTCACCCCTCACATTTTCTTTTCTTTTGGTGAACAAAACAGCACTGGTTCCTAAATGCTTTGAAATCAGAGGAACAACTATCACACAAGGTGCCCCTTGCTTATATTTTTTTCTCAACACACACACACACACACACACACACACACGATTTAACCAAGAGCCAACCATTCTTCAAATACAACAGATGGTGCAAGAAATTGGGGTGAAGTGGATCCCCTAACTTTTCCCTCCCACAAAACACCAAATCTTAGTTTTATTTTTCTTCTTCCTATTTTTATTTAATCAGCTCATTATATCCAATACGATTGTAATGATGAAAGACCTCTACATTTATTTCTACACTGGAGGCAAGAAAAACCTACCAGATCTTAAATCAGAGAATCCTGAAGGCAAATTCAGCAGCTCTGAAACAGCATAACAATTTTGAGGCTTTCAACTTGTCTTAACTGGCAGGTTAAACCTCAGAGTCATCAACAGGATCATTTACCAGAAGTGCAAAGCAATACATTTTTGAATTTTAAATTTTTGGCACCATTGTCTTATTACTGAGTAATAATATAAGTAATAATAATTATGAGTAATAATTGAGTAATAATTATATTGAGTTTTTTGGTATATAGGTATGTATTTGTGTGCCTCTGTGTATGATATATGTTCTTATGTACTATTATTAGAAAGTTCTGTGATGATAGAACATTGGTCATTATATACATGTCACTCAGTCATAAAGATTTTTATTTGGTTTTTTTTAAAAGGATTTATCTTCATACACAAAGAAAAGGAGAAAGGAGGTACAGCACAACCTGCTTGCCATACTAGGAAGCAGAGCTACAGGAGAGAGAACGCATCAAAAAGGCAGAAAAGTAGGGAAAACTTCTAATAAAATTCATCACTCTGCATTACTTTATTGTAAAGGCAGCATCGTTTTTATTTTTATTTTTTTTATTTTGTTTTGTTTTAACGCTCATCGAGGACGCCACGTTTATTTCTGCTGGGTGGTTCAAATGTGCATAAATGCTGATGTAATATAGCATATAAACTACGCCATATGCTCTCTATTCTAAGTAACTGGATTCTGCGATGCTTCGGTTCCGGCTATAACACGTTAACTGCTCGCCTCCTTTTTCTCTGCGTATAAATAAAGGTAAAGACACGAAGTATCTTTTGTGCAAAAGGCGTGTAGGGAATTACAGAAGAGGGGTTTTGTTTTGTTTTTCCCACGAAGGCCTTCAGGGTCTGGGAGTGGGGGGGTCCCTGCTGCCACGCGAACCCTCCTTTTCCCACCTACACCACTCAGCGGTCCGCCATCCAACACGGGGCCTGTGTGCTCCAACCTAACTTTGACGTTGTTTTTGCAAGTCATCGCTTGACAGGCGGCCGCTTCAGCCCCGGTTCTGGAGCTTGGGCTCCCCCCCCCCTGAAATCGCCCTAACAGGCCCGGAGGTAAGGAGCCGCTTTTTTTTTTTCTTCCCTTTTTTTGGTCCATAAAGCGACTCGGGGGCCTCTAAGATTGAGCAACAGCGCCATCTCGCGTCCGTTTTTCCCCAAGGCATGCACCCTGCGGAACGGGGTGGGAAGAAGAGAGCCCCTTTCGGACGGTGAAAAAAAAAAAAGAGAGAGAGAGAGAGAGAGAGAGATCTCCCAGCACCACCTTCTTTTTTTCCTTTTTTTTTTAACTCCACCCATCCCTTCCTCCCCCGCCTCTTCCCCACCCACCCCCATCCCGCATTCCCTACTCCATGCATACTATTAGGGTCCCAAAGGAAACAAAAAGCATTTCTTTTCCTAAACAAAAACAAACAAGCAAACAAAAAATTTTGGGGTGGAAAAGAACGAGAACATCTGGCGTTACTCAATCCACAAGAGATTCCGGAGGCTTGGACAAAAATTAGGTTTTAATGGTTGGAGGCGCCCCCTTCGCTCAGGTTTCTTCTGCCCCCTCCCTTCCTTCCTCCCCCCCCTCCCCCCCCCGCTCTTCCGCCCTGCCCCAGCTAAAACCCCGGTTCTCAGAACAATAACCCTCACGCACTCGCTTGCGCGCGGACGCACAATCACACCCTTACACCATTGCCCGGGCGAAACGTAGCCGCTTGCCTCTCACCTCTCCTGTCAACCTCACAACCTTGAAAAGGTTCACAACCTTTAAAACAACAACAACACCAACAACACCAGGGCTTCCTCCTGTGCCAAGCGCTTAGGGGAGGGAGTGTGTGTGTGTGGGGGGGGGGGCCCAGAAGGGGGGGTGAGGGGGAAGGGGGGCGAAATGCGCGTCTGTTGTTCGTTGCCGGTAGACAAAACATTCCAATAATCCGGTTTCAAAGGGAAGAGCACCCCACCTTATTAAAACCATAAAACGATTAAGGCCAGACGTCTAGCCGGTTCCGTGGTCCTGTTTTTGTTCAATTCTATTCAGCACGGAGACAATCAAAGTTGTAAAAGCTGGCATTTTGGGGCTGCGGAAATGTACCTCTGGGCTTCTTTCAAAGCTGCTATCTTTTTTTTGTACTGACTACAAAAGGGTTCTGTTTGGGGTTTTGTTTTTGTTTTTAAGGGCAAGATGAGAGGCCCACTCCTTCCTTCCTCTTCCTTCCTTCCTTCCTCCCTTTTCTCCTCCTTCCCTCTCCAATGTGCTACCCCCACCCCCATATAGCACCCACACAAGCAACATCACCAAGAAACCAAGAGGGTTATTATTGGGATTTTTAATTTAGAAACAAAAGAAAGCAAAACGAATCTGGCTGAGGGAGAAGCAGGCCAATACTGTTGGGTGAAGATGCTTGAAGATACAGTCCTGATGTGAATATTTGAGTAAGTTATTCCCAGTTACTTCTGGGAAAATGTACACACAGAGAGAAAGAAAGAGAGATCCATACATACATGCCTGCCATTAAATTATATCTGTGAAAGGAGATGCCCTGAGTTTTATGTGGAAGACCTGTACAGAACCTGACACTATAGTCCTCCATAAAACAAAGCAAGCTAGAAAGAAACGGGGAAAGAAAGAGGGTGGGAGGGAGGAGGGAGGGAGGGAGGGAGGAGGGGAGAGAGAGAACAACAGTCTTATGGAAACAAAGGAAGCATAACTTACATTCTTTTCTTCTCCATTACCTCCAATGGGAGCTCAGCTCCGCTGAAGACTATTGGGTAGTGGGGAGGAGGGGGTTGGGGGAGAGAGAAAGGTGAAAGAGGCTGCATCTTTAGTCATCTTGAAAATGAGGTCTGGTGGAACTGGAAGGAGCTTCAAGCATGGGGAAGGCTCAAAGTTAATAAAAGAGACACAGGCTGGGCTCTAGTCTATCAGAGAGGAGAGGAGAGGAATGGAAAGGAAAGGAGAGGAAAGGAAAGGAGAGGAGAGGAGAGGAGAGGAGAGGAAGAAAGGAGAGGAGAGGAAAGGAAAGGAGAGGAAGGAATGGAAAGGAGAGGAGAGGAAAGGAAAAGAAAGGAAAGGAAAGGAAGACGGGAGGAAAGGAAGGATTTTAAAGATGGATATGTTTTGTTTTGTTTTATCTTTTCAAATTCACATTGAATACAGGGTTGTAGCTACTAAATTGCCTCCGCCAGCATTCCTGTTATAGCAGACAAAAGGAAAACGGGGGGGGGGAGGGGTTTATACATATATATATTTATTGCCCCTTAAACGGAACTTTTCAATCTTTCCTGCCCTTCCCCATTGCTGGGTGCTCGGACCCTCTTGAAAAACACGGCACAAAGCTAAAGGTTAGCTGTTACATTTTTCTTAGAACGGAGAAGCATTTTTTTTTTCCTGCTCCCAAGTCCCACCTCCCCGGTCTTATGCAACCTAGATAAATACACACAAGCCTGCAAAACTTATTTTCATAAACGGAAAGGCAGACAAAAGCACTAAAGTAATGTGTTTGAGGACATCAGCGGGGCAAAGGGTTCCAGATTCAAAACAAAACCAAACCAAACCCAACCGTATTTATTTGTTCTCCGTTTCTAGGGGGGGCTTGGATCTCGCAAGCCGCGATCTGTTTACCATTAGAAAAATTAGAAGTTATTTGGCTTCCTCCTTTCGAGAAAAGCAATGCTTTTTATAAACAAGTTGCGATGAAGCACCTCACAGGCGTCTCCCCCCCCCCCCCTTTTTTTTTTTTTAAATCCTTTGACTTTCATTTCAACTGTCCTGGCAACAGGAAGATCTGCCTTTGTAGGAAAGATTTTTAAATGAGCTATTGAGACACTAGAAACCCCCGGCCTTCCACCATCCCAGAGCCCCCTCCTCGCGCTGCCACCTTTCCCGCCGGGCCCCGTGTCATTTAACTCGTTCCTAAACAGAGACCCTCGGAGTTTTAACACTCCCAGATTCCCTTTCTCCCTGGCCGAGAAAGCGGTTTTAAAAGGGGCCAAGGGGGCGACGGGGGTGGGGTGGGGGGAGGCGGGGAACCTTCGATCCGAATTCCACTCCCTTAGGCTTTATAACATGTTAAGCTTTTTATTATTATTTAGATGGTGCTCTCTCGCTATTCAATCCTAACACTACCATTAGGAACACACCACCACCCCCTCCTCTTTTACCCCCCCCCCCGCCTCCCCTGTGGTGGTGGTACATTACGAACCTAACTCGTAATTGCTTGGGCCCCCAAGCGAGGCACTAACAAATTTTTGGCACTTCACTAATAATCCCAAAGCGTTCCAATAGTCTCCGAGCGATCACAAACGTAAAGATCCACGAGCAAAACCGGACCGGAGCCCGTATTTAATCTCGTACACATTCTTTGATTGCCCAGGGTCATAAATTAGTACAATTAATTACCCCAAATTAAAATGCAGAGCACCCTGCCGCCTTTTACCCGAATCTTCTCTCTCTCTCTCTCTCTCTTTCTCTCTCTCTCTCTCTCTTTTTAAGGAGCATGACATTAAGCAGATATTGGTATATTGAGAGTCAAGGAGAAAGATTCAGGAGCTAAGAGACCGAGAAAGAAAAGAAGGGGGAAAAAATGATTCCCGAGAGAAGATATTCTGGTCTTCTATTTTCCGGAAGGAAACCAGCGGTCATTAAATGGATGGACATCTTTTTCCAGAATTTGTATCCGTAAGAATCCCCAAACAATGTCTCCCTGCTCTTTCCTTCCTTTACAACTTATTCGGGGGGAAAGGGTATTATTCCTCCATAGGAGTTTACATTTTTTTTTTTTTTAAAAAAAAGACACCTTCATTACCGACGGATTTTTTTTCCTCCTTTTTTTGGGTGATGTTAGGTATATATTTACAGAAAGCTGTTCTACTATAGCAAAACATAACAGTGTTACAGAACGGTTCTGTGACAATCAGAGAAGACACAAATAAGTACACCAGTTCGACACGAGGACAGAAACATTGTTTTGAGCAATCACTCCCCCCCCACACCATTTTCCCCCTTTCTCTTTCTTTTCACCCCCCACCCACTTTTATTCTTTCCATTGTACAAAATATGCAACCACAACATCATAAAATAATAATTAAAAAACAAAAACCACTGGATAAATTTAACTTATAAAATACTAACTCAAAAATTCAAGTACTTTGTTGTTTTTCTGAAAAGAAAAGAAAAAGTTTATTTTTAGTTGCAATTGTTAGGGGTGTGTGTGTGTGTGTGTGTGTTTGCATTTTGTAAAGAAAAGCACTTTTTATGTTTCTCTTTCCCTCTGTCTCTGTCTCTCTCTCTCATTTTTGTTCCAAGAAAGGTTTGCCGTGTTTAACTAATTCTAAACACTCATCAGCACATTAAGTGGGGGGAAAAAGTCAGGAACAATTTCTTTCTTAGGAAAAACCAGCTCCTCGATTTCTCCACAACTGGAAGGATGTGGCCACTTTCACTGCTGCTCTTTATTATTATTATCGGTTTTCTCTTTATTCATTTTCTTCATTTTCATCCTCCTGTTCTGAAACCAGATTTTGACTTGGCGCTCAGTGAGATTAAGAACCCTGGCCACTTCATAACGTCGGTCCCGAGTTAAGTACATATTGAATAAAAACTCTTTTTCTAGTTCCAGCGTTTGATACTTTGTATAAGGACACCTTTTCTTTCTCGTAGAACGTGCATGAATCCAATTTGCAACAGGATTATCTGCAAAATAAAGATTGGGACATTTAATTTATTATGAATTGTTTATTTACCTACCCACCTCTGTTTATTCATTTTAGCCCTTACCCAGATCTGCATTTATTGATGGCAGTGCCTTCAAATAGAAATTGCCCAAAATTCATATCCCGTCCTTATAATTTTAGTACTTATCTAAAGTCTCCTTTCTAAAGTCTCTTTAGACAAGTGAGCGTGGACTGCTCAAGCCTGAAATGACCTTCAGGATTTCTAAGGGCACATCTATTCTTTTAGAGGAACTGAGCGTGCACTGTGTGTTCATCAGTTGTGCAAGCAGGGAGGCACTAAACAGTAGTGAGTTTAAGTAGTTCTGTTCTGCACCCTCTTTCTATCATTTTATTTCATTTGGCAATCATTCTCTCCCACAAGCTGCAATTCTCAAATAAAACTAGGGCCAAGAGGTTGTAATAACAATAAAAATAATAATATGCCTCAATTAAGGATAACTCAAGAACACAATCATGAAAAGTCTAAATTCCCACCACTTCATAGGCCCATAAACTCTGTTTACAACCCTGGCTCTCCAGCTCTCTCCCTATAACTTCCCACTGATGGAGCTGCCAGCAATTTTAAAAGGAATGAGAATATATATATATATTCAGCTAGTGCCCCAGAAGAAGCCTAGTGGTGGCCATATATATATATATAGATATTTCTGAGCACTGAAACCCATCCCTTGGAGACCCTCTTTACAACTTTCTCAGAAGGATTTGATTCATCCTTCGGATTAATTGTTTCTTGGGTGAAATTTGGATGTATTGAATATGCTGTTGATAGTAGTCTCCTTTTAATCCATGATCTGTGTCTCTTTCTCTGTCTCCCTTTCTCTCTTCCTCCCCCCCCCCCCCCCCACCAATTTGTAGATCTGCCTATACAATTAAAATTATCAGGATGAGCCAGTATTTGACCAGCCTATCAGGCCTGAAAGGATTTCTACACACCTGGCATGGGAATCTGTCTATTGAGCAGAAAGGAAGGGGAAGAGAGCAGCTCTGTTTATCTCTAGCTGGGCACAAAAATGCACACGCATCATCTCTTTTGCGGGGCATGTGAATCAATAAACAAGTGGGCATTATTTCTTGGCACTAGAGTCATCTTAATTCCACCTATTTTGCTTTCTGTATCTCACCTCCCACCGACTGCACACAAGAGGGGGGGAAAAAAATCTCCCACGTTTAAAGGGCAGATGTCCACTAGGAAATGAACATTTCACTGTGCAGAAGAATGATTACTTAAAAAAAAAAAAAAAAAGCAAAGCAAAGCAAAAGCACAAATCCCTTGGAGACCCTTTCAGTTGTTTTAACAGTGTTCAAGGTTATTTCTTTTCTTTTCTTTTTTTAACTCCCTTTATTAGTAAGTTACACTGTAGAATTATTTTTCTTTTTTAAAAAAAATGGAAAGGGAGGGAGATGATGTGTATTATTAACTGTTCTTTCAAATGTTTGGACTTCCCTCCCCGTTTGCTAAACTCCAACAGTTATTTGATTTCTGATCAACCTTCCTTCCTTTGCTGTCTCCCCTCTCAGTGCCATCCCTAACTTTTCGGTCCTCTTTCTGGATGGAGGCAAAAATCTAGGGGAATTATTGTCTGGAGTTTGGGTTTGTTGGTTTGTTTGTTTTTGTTTCCCTCTAAGAGGCTTTTCTCACCAATCCCCCCTGCTTTTCAGTACACATCAACACCCCAATATTCTTTCTCCTCCCACATACCCCTGGATGGCTTTTGCCATACTCCTTCCTCCAAAAGTCAGAAGGACTTAAATGCAAGGAAGAAGGGGCAAAGCAGGTTAGGGGCTGGTTGAGGAACAAACAAAGTAGCCAAGATGCGAAGGAAAGCAAGCGGGAGAGGACGACGGAACCATCCAGATCCCGTAACAATAATAATGCTCATTAAAAAAAAATTCCTTTTTTTTTCTCCCCCCCCCTCCCTTCGCCCCCTGCCGCCCTCCTTTCCCAAATCAAATAAACCAGCTTTCCCCCAGGTTTGTCAGCCCTTGTAGCTGGAGATCCAAGGGAAGGACGCCAAGAATTCTAAACAGCAAAGGTAATTTCTTTTTATTGAGCACTGTGCCAGGAGGCGGTAATGCCTTCCCGGTTGTAAACAAGAATGACTTCGACTTACTAGGGTCCAATTCGGTCTTTTCTTCTTTGTGTTTGTTGGAAGCGATGGCCTCAGATTCCGGAGAGGGTATAGTCTGCGGGGTTCTGTCCCTGAGATCTCCCGGGGATCCGTACATATAATCCGGATAACTACGTCCATCCCCCGGTCCGCAGTCCCTGCGGCCGTGGAAGGCGTCGGGTTTAAGCCCGTAGTGCCGGCTGCTGGCTGGAAAACCTGGGAACGAGACCGCGCCGGAGATAGGCTCCAGCCAAGTGCGCATATACCGAGTGTCAGTTCCAATGTGTGGCTGGTGGGTGTACGGGTGGTAAACCACGGACGACTGGGAGTGCACGGGAGCCCACGAGGTGGTAAACACGGTCGGTTTGGGGGCAAAGCTGCAGGACGGAAAATCTGCACACTCCGGTACCAATCCTGACGGTCGGGCTGCTGCAGGATGAGAGCCAGTAGCTGGGAAGCGGGACGCCAGCAAGTCGTCGCTCTCGTGGCTAATCAGAGAATCTACATAATAGTTGCTTATGGGACCCGAAGCCGACATTGTTCCCCCCTCTTTTACATTCATAAGATTATTGTATGAACTGTATGTGTACTTTTTATCTTCTCATAGAACAATCAGGGCAGGTAATTATTTTTTCAGCCTTTCCTAGCGTGCCATTGGCTCCGAGGTCCCACGTGATTATATTTACCCAAAATACAGTGTAGATCAATCCGCAGGTCTTTTTTTTTTCTCCCTTTCGCCCTCTTTCTATTTTTTTTTCTTTCTTTTTTTTTAAAATAATGCCGAGGCGACTTGGGTTTTCATCAAACTCTTGAAATAATGCCGTTATTAGCAGCAGCGGTCGGATCTTACGTGTCGTAAGCTGAAAGGCGATTCGCTCGTTGGCTGGCTGGCTGGCTGGCTGGCTGGCTTCCTGGGCGACCTGGCTTTTCCATAGCCCTGCTGCTAATGAGGGGTGTAAGGTAGCTGGTGTAGCAAGGTAGCACAAGGAACTATTTCTTGACGCAATTTGTCTCTGTCTACTCGCTCTGCTTCTACGGCTTGTATTCGATAATGGATACATTACATGGAAGATCTTTAAAGGGGGAGGAGATGACAGGTCCTCACGCAGTGATCCTCCTTAGCTCTCAGCCTCTCCGGCACCGCTCCTGAATTTTAATTACATTCATGTATGTATATATATGTATGTGTATATATATGTATATGTATATGTATGTGTATATATATATATGTATATGTATATGTATGTGTGTGTATAT